TACATTTCTCCGTAGATGGAGCCATGTAGATGAGTTTACTGGACATAGGGCAATGAAGCAGCTTCTGTTGTCAACCACGGAGCATCCAAACTGCCCCGCTGTGCCACCAAACAGCTGATTGGCACAGGGCGGGGGCCATTTTGAAGTAAATGAAGCGGCGATTATTTATATCGCCGCTTCATTTTCCTATGTCTAGTAAACTCATCTACATGGCTCCGTCAACGGAGCCATGTAGTCTAGACATCCTCTTAAATGTAAAATGGCAATTACCCCCCTCAAGTTTCAAAGATATTTAACCCAGCTCACAACAGCAGCAGCAGCAAGCTTTTCTCCACCTCCATAAAATAAAATAAAATAAAATAAAATCTCTCATTGCTATATTAATGATAATAAACAACTCTCCTGATCATCGCTAAGAAATGCATATTTTCCTATACATTTGACCCTCAATAACCCATTAATTTCAAAGATTATCTACTAAGAAAGAGTAATAGCATATGAGTGAGTTAAACTGTGAAGAGAGAGGATTTAATTTGCATAACTACATATGCAAAATGAATACATCAATAATTCTGTAATTTTTAATCTCATTTTTGTAGAAACGTTGTAAAAGTTTATGATAACATTAATTTTACCCCAGAAATACATATCAATTAAATGCACAGATACAGGAAACTGACATTGGAATTACATTATTTTGTAACACGACAATGTTTTAACTTCAAAGCCACTGCAGAGGATGCAGTTTAGCAGCAATTCAATAAAGTTTATAAAACACAGTCCTAAAATAATTGAATTGTGTATCACCAAGACTTGTAGAGAAAGAAAGGTTAAAGTTGAAGTGTCCAATATCTGCAGATAAGGCAACATGAGCTAGTGGACAGGGGACTAGGTGGAAGCCAAACAGTATGGGATCTGGTCCTAGCTCTGCCACTGATGTGCTGTGTGAACTTAGGCAAGTCACTTTGCCTCCCCATTCCTATTAGCTTCTAAGTTGCAGAGACCATCTTTTATTGCATGTTTGTTCAATGCCTAGCAACAGAGAGCCCTGATCTTAGCTGTTGCCTCTGAGTGCTACTATAATACAATCAATAATCATAATAATAATTATGCCATCAAGAGCTGTGTAGACCTAATAGATTTGGTGGTTTGATTGCCATAGGCTGTATACATTACACCAATATTCCCGGTATGCTAGTAGTAAGCAATAGGGGCACTAGTGTAAACTAGTCAACACTACCTGCACCACTGTTGTCGTCTAACCCTGCTAGAAGACATGCTGATGAAAATAACAGTAGTTTGTGTAGACTAGGGCTCCCAAGCATGGTACCAGTAATGAAGACATGCAGTTACTGATGCAAGTAGAAATTAGCTAGAGAGCTTCCCCCTTCTGAAAACAGGAGAAGCTGTAGCTAAGCGCTGTCACAGTGAGGGGCTTCAGCTGTGGAGCCCATTTCTCCTCCTTGCTCTGCCAGAGGCCAGGTTTGAAGACCATCCGGGCATGTCTACACTAGGAAGTTGTTTCGAAATAACTACAGTAGACTTAACTCCTAATTTAACAAAATCAAAATAGCGTGGCCCCACTACAGGGAAGCCTTGAAATTAGCTTGAGGCAGGCTCTGTTAATGTGGATGTGCTACCTCAACTTAGAGCCCCAGGAAGCACTGGGGAGTAACTAATTTGAATTATTCTAGGGAGTAGTGATTTTGAAATAGCGGCACCAGAGCATCCGCATTAATGCTATTTTGAAATAACTATTTTGAAATTAGCGTTATTCCCTGCGAAAAGCATGAGTACAGATTTTGAAATAAACATGCCGTTATTTTGAAATAATGGGCTTCATAGTATGGATGCTTCACTTATACATTTAACCGACCGGGGGCGGGGGTTATTTTGAAATAATGCCCTAGTGTAGACCAGGGTTTAGAGTGTACATGAAATGCTAATCATTTGACAAAGCAAATTTATTTCTCAGGCGATGTGGAGGCTGTCCAGAGTTTTTGGGGAGGATGGAAAGGGAGCTGTCGATTTTGGGAGGTGGAGAGGCATTTTGGAACTAACATACTGAATGCTTCCAATAGCTACCGGAGATCTGGGTAGGTAGCTTTATATCCTGAAACTATCTTTGTGCTCACCTGAGTCTTCTCACATAAATACCCAACGTTTACTTATACGTAAACCTACCTCCCTCTTTCCTCTCTTCGTTACTCCGGAGAAGGCAACACTTAACCGGGTGCCTGGCCACCTGATGTCGTTGACATTAAAGGAGATCCCGAGAATCCCAGTGGTGAAGTTGAACAGGTGGAAATCCTCTGTCCACCACCATGCTGCAGACCCTTATTTCCTAAAGGAATTTAAAATTGGTTGTGCGCCCACAGACTGACCCTTCCACATACTCAGTGTCAGCTTGGGGAATACTAATACTAATACTCTGTGGTATGGGTCTAACTCAAAAGTATCAATTATCAATTACATACATCTAACATGCTTACATTACAGTTAACACCTTTACTTTGCAACCTAAAGAAGCAGGGAAGAACAGATTCTGATTAAATGTCAGCACTAATTCAAATCCACTGAGGGCAGGTGCATAAAATCAATTAACAAATATAAGATACAGTAAAAAATGAAACATATATAACTGGCATTTACACAGCCACCCTTCACCCCACTCCGGAGTGCACACTCCTCTGGATGTCAGAGTCCTGGGCATGTGCATGTATGTGAGCAGGTTTGAAGATTTGAAGCTGTCGACAGCAATGTGCAGGTTCTGTGTATCAAGATGCACTGTCCCTATGAAGATTGGAGTTGGCCCCACCACATGCCACCAGCTCTGGGTCCCAGTTCAATGGGACTAGCTACCTTTCTGCTGTGTCCAGAGTCATCCCGTCCATAGGATAGTTTGGAACGGCCACTCTAGGCCCCATGCTTTTGGGGGCCCCGCAGCAGCCGCCCCAACCATCCTGTGCATGGGAAGGACTGAAGGATTATGGAGGCCTCACACCGAGGCTGCAGCAGGGGTCTACGGAGCAGGCAGCCTGCTCCTCAATGCCCCCCTTTCCCGGCCCCCTGCACTTGACTTCAGGACACTCCAGAGCCTCCTGCACTGCAGGCTGGAAGAGGGTGACGGGGCATAGAGGAGTGGAGCAGGCTACCTGCTCCAGCTCCACCGCCCACATGATGAGTGAGGGAAGCAACTCCAGCTCTGCCCTGCCAGGCCCCCATAATTCCCCAGGCTGTGTTGCTCAGGGAGGGGGCAAGGAGGGGGGGTGGGAGTGGGACTTTGGGAAGGGGTGGGGCCTCAATAGTGGAGGGTTGCCCTGGGGCCCAGTCCTGGAGCATGGGGGGAGGGATTGCTCCAGGCCCCTTTCCCCTCAGGAGGGCCCTGGCTGTGCTCCTTCCCTTACAAGTACTTTCCCAAAAAAAGTGTGATGGTTACTCACAGTTCCTTTACCGCAAGCCCATTCCAGTCTCCTCTAGGCACAGCAATCTTCTCCCCCCTGGCTCCAGGGATGCCTCCAACCATCTGTGAAACTCCCTGCTTAATCAAAGCCCCAGCAGGATCTCAGCAGCAGCTTCTGGCTTTCAGCAGTAGCTCCTGCTATAGAGAGAGCTCCACATCAGCAATTTGGGCTTCTCTCCCAAAATAGAGTTCTCCCTGCAGTGCCTGGAAGAGAGAGGTTTCTCCTATTTCTCCCTATGGCATCATGGGAGTTATAGTCTTCAAGGCTAGATGGCAGTACTTCATATCTTCCCAACTGGAACATTCCCAAAAAATTTCAGAGGCCATCTGTGTGCCTCAGCTCTACAGATGGATGGAGAACTCCTGGTTAAAGAAAAAACTTAAGTTAAAGGCAATTAGCTCAAGGCAGTTAGCTCAAGGCACCTGTTTCTGAGGCCCAGACACAAAAGAGCGACAGAGTATGGGCAACATGTTACATTTACAAATGCATGGTGCACGTAAACTTTTCTGATGTGTATTGGGATGTCAAGTTCAATGCCTACAGTTGACTCAATTGTTAGCAGGGGTCTCATACATGCACAAGTTAGACCAGTGGTTCTCAACCAGCTGTTCGGGGTCATGTTTGATTCACTAGAGTGCACAGCACAAAGCTGAAACCCCACCCCACTGCCTGAGGCCAAAGCCTGAGCTATTTAGCTTTCCGGGGGCCCCTGTGGTATATGGCCATGGGCAATTGCTCCTCTTGTCCCTAATGCTGGCCCTGGGTTTTAATCTATTGAAAAATGGGGGTTCTAGCACAGCTGGGCCAGGAAATATTTATACTGAGGGATTCCTCAGAAAGAAACAGTTTGAGAATCCCTGAGATTGGTCATCCTATTAATATTTTAGCACGGATATGTGCCCCCCGTCCACCATTTCTTAAAACTCTTGCAGTTCTTTTATTTGCTCCGTCACTTCGCCTATCGTCCCTGCTATTTAAATCCAAGTGTTATTGCAGTATAGTGCTCTTGTAAAATTATATTTTTCAGACAATTGAATACTTATGAATAATAATTTCAGTGCTGAGCTATCATGTAGCTGTATCGCTTGGAAAGGCCTTCAGAGGCAAAGTAGTCAATATTTCTATGAATATGGAAACCATTAATTGTCTCAAGGAAAAATAAAAGCTATCAGATTCTTCCATCATTTTAATATCTATCAAAAGGCCCCCTTTTCTAGTGTTTCTTCAGTGGAGAGACAGGAAATGAATTAGAAAGTCTAAGTAAACATTAATAAAACCTGATAGACAACAGTGACACAGGCCTATGCACTGCAATAGAATGTAGCGGCTGAAGCGGTTTCCACTATCAGGTTGATAGGAACAGGATAGATATAGATCATCCTAGACTGCCAGGACAAGCACAAATCCGGGTGGCATGTGAGGCATCCTCCAGGCTCTGCCAATGACACTTCTGGGTGTGACTGTAGGCAAGTGATGTCACAAAAGAGCAAAGTTTCAGTAGAGTTTCTCCCTTCCCACAACAGAAGGATGGTACATCAAGCCAGAGTCCTACGGCACATTCATAGACTGAATTCCAAAGCCAGGCCAGTAAAGTCTTTACAGTTCACCATACTAATATTGTCTGTGTATATATAGTAGGTTTAGGGGCCAGGAAGCCATCACTGAGCTGGAGCTGTATCAAATCTGAGCAGCAGCAGCAACACATGCTTGATACTGTCATTCAGGTAAATACTGTCGATGAAGTGTTACTGTAAGCCCTGATCTATACTAGGGCTTTATTTCAAAATAACCCCGCTTATGTCAAATGTATAAGCAGAGCGTCCACACTATCAAGACTGTTATTTCAAAAGAAAAGGACACTTATTTTGAAATCTGTACTCCTGCTTTTCTCACAGATTAATGCTAATTTTGAAATAGTTATTTCGAAATAGAGGTAGTGTGGATGCTCCGGTGCTGTTATTTCAAAATAACTACTCAGAGTAATTTGAACTAATTACTCCCCAGTGCTTTCTGGGGCTCTAAGTCAAGGTAACATGTCCACATTAATGGAGCCTGCCTTGGACTAATTTTAAGACTTTCCCATAGTGCGAACACACTACTTTGATTTTGTAAAGTAGGGAGTTATTAAGCTGAATTTAGTTATTTCAAAATAGTTTCTTAGTGTAGACATGGCCTAAGAGTGCACTTCCACTATCTTTTATCCTTTCTGTTGGTTTTGCGTCTGGACATTGTGGATAATAGTACAGAGAAGATTAATTGGCTTGTATCCATATAGCATTTTTAACATGACAAACTCTAAATGCTAAGGATTACAGACACTGGGGGATGGGTTTTGTGAACAATATTTCTGGGAGATGAAGACAAAGTGAGTTCAGAACCACAGACATACGATATTCAGTTACTTCCCATCAGATGTTCATAGAATCATAGGGTTGGAAGAGACCTCAGAAAGTCATTGAGTCCTAAAAGCAGGACCAATCCCAACATCATCTTCAACATTGCTTTCTCTAAGGAAGTGGGCTGTGCCCACGAAAGCTCATGATGCCATCTACATGTTTTGTTAGTCTATAAAGTGCTACCAGACCATTTGTTGTTTTTTAAGTTTATCGCTTTCTCTGTTCTCCAAAAGCGGCAAGGAGTCTTGTGGCACCTTATAGACTATCTGACGAAGTGGGTCTTTGCCCACGAAAGCTTATGCTCCAACACTTCAGTTAGTCTATAAGGTGCCACAGGACTCCTCGCCACTTTTGCAGATTCAGATTAACACGGCTACCCCTCTGATACACTGTTCTCCAAATAGCTTTTATATGGCTAAAATATTCCAGGACAACTGAGCCTTCACCCCAAATCCAAACCAAGTCCAAGATCATATCTGAAGCTCATAAGACCTTTTCCCTCCTGCCCCTTTGACCTTTGTGACTGTGCTTTAGAAGACAGCCTGTCCAGATGCAGGATATACCAGGTGTCTTGTGACTGAGAGTCTGATTATGATTGCCTTGCTGAATTTGAAGAGCCCAGAGAGATAGATGGGTTATGTATTCAATCATAAATTGATATTTATCCATATTAAGTCTCCCCTTCTTTCATGACTCACCTCAAATGAACCATGACAGCATAGTGATGAAACCCACAGTCAACAGCTATAGTCCAAGTTGGGAATGTCAGGACCAAAGGACAGCCCCTGTCCTCATGAGCTAAATGACGGTTTGGGGTTTTTTATTGTTGTTGTTGGTTTTGTTTTTGTTGTTTTGTATTAAATAGTGCCTAGGAGTACGAGACATGGATCATGATCCACATTGTGCTAAGCACTGTCTGCACAGACAACAACAAATAACAAGGAGAGGCAGTCCCTATTCCGAAGAACTCACGTTCCAAGTAACTGTCACAGCTAGGCCAACGAACAAGGTGTTGTAGCAGCTGAGATGAATCTCAAGAGGGAGAGATGATCACAAGTAGGTCAAAGTGCTATTCAGAAACATGTCACTCTATAGCAGTGGTCCCCAAACTTTCATGGCTGCCGGGTGCCCGGGGGTGGGTCCGCCAACGCGCCCTGAGGCCAGGGCCAGCACCGCGCATGTGCTGCGCGCCTGGGGCAGAGGCCGGCTACGCACCCTGAGCCCAGGGCCAGCACCACACATGTGCCTCGTGCCAGGGGTGGAGCCAGCCCAGATGTTTCAGCAGGCGCACATAAATGCCCCGGTGGGCGCCATGGCGCCCGCGGGCACCACGTTGGAGACCACTGCTCTATAGTATATAATTTTATAAGTTATAAGTGCTCAAGTCCATAAAATACGCTCTGGCATTAATAGTACCACAGATGTGGAAGAGATTGTCTCTCTCGACTCGGTCTCATCAGTCATAGCTGTGACTACCATAAAAACAAGACTGAATGATAGCTACTAATAATACCACCTCGCTTTATATAGCACTTTCCCATCAGGAAATCTTAGCGTGAAGGAAGAGAGTATACTCCTCCCCTTTTCAAATATGGGAAATGGGAGAAGAGAGAAGTGACGTGGGGCATGTCTACACTGCACGCTTATTTCAAAATAAGCTATTGCGCAATAATTATTCTGAAATAGCTTATTTCAAAATAGCAGGGAAACCTCAAAATTAGTCCGAGACAGGCTTCACTAATGTAAACATGGTATCTTGATTTAGAGCCCCAGGAGGCACTGGGGAGGAATAACTTAGAATGGCCCTGAAGAGCAGGCATAGCAGCCGTGGAGCGTTTACACACACCTTATTTCAAATTATCTATTTCGGACGGATTTCCGCATAAGCCGTCCATTATTTTGAAATTATTTCAAAATAATGGAATAGCTGTATAGATGCTTGCATTGTTATTTCAAAATAATTATCTCATGCAGTGTAGACATACCCTTGGTCACCCAGGAGCAGACCTGGGAATAGAAGTCAGGTTTCCTGAGCACTCATCTAGTGCTCTTCCCACAACACCACACCATCCCTCAATCTGGGTACTTGCTTCTAAAGCAGGCAGGTGTTGGTTCAAATCCCCATTCTGCCTGTTTAGAAGTAAGTAGCAGTGTGATCTACCCTAGGGAGGTTGTAGAAACTCCATCCTTGGAGATATTTAAGAGCAGGTTAAATAAACATCTATCATGGATGATCTAGATGGTGTTTAGTCCTGCCCTGGATGCAGGGAACTGGACTTAATGATCTCGTGAAACCCCTCCAATTCTATGATATAGACAGTAGATTGCTAAGTCCTTTTCTACAGTAGGGAGTTACTTTGAAATAATTCCCCTTAGCTATGTCTACAGTTGCACCCTGTTTTGCAATAGGGATGCAAATGTAGGCATTCGGAATAGTAAATGAAGCCGGGATTTAAATATCCCGCGCTTCATTAGCATAACTGCATCTGGGCGCTATTTCGAAATCACACTATTTCTAAATAAAATGCCCTGTGTAACCACGTTATTTTGAGAGAAAACCCCTTCTCTCAAAATAAATGTTATTCCTCATACAATGAGGTTTATCAGTTATTTTGAGAGAAGGGTTTTCTCTCGAAATAACGTGGTTACACAGGGCTCACGGTTTTTAAAGAAAAACTGCCCTGCAGCCACGTTTCTGGGTGGGGCGAGGCAAGCATGGAGCCTGTGCCTGGAGCTCCCTGCCGTATTCATGGGCCAGATCCGGTGGCTGCCTTCTGTGGTGGACAGAAATTTTTATAAAACAAAATAAGAATCCTTTAGTTGTAGTTCTTGAAAGCAATAAGGACAGTAGCTTAAAAATACAAAACACAATTTGTTGCTAGAATACAACTCAAGTGCAAACCTGGGTGATATTTGGTCACTTTGACTAGAACAGCATTTGCAGTTATGAAAAATGACAGCAGCTACCATGGAAAGGAGAGAGATGAAGTTATGTAATGCAGCAGCATAATTCACATAGCCCTGTCATAGCTCTGCAGGATTTCAGAACTCCCTTCCCTTTCCTTTTCTTCAAGCATCTTTCTTGTTTCTCTCTCTATCTCTCTTCATTGCTCTTTTCAGATCACTTTGTTTAAGATTGCTTGAGAAATTTGGGGCACAAACTCCCAGCATAAGAAGTAAGGTAGAAGATAAAAGCTGTGACATGGAGCTGAGGATACTTGAGATCATCAGATGCCACACTTACATCAGATTAACTACCCAGTCATCAGGTGGCTGAAAGCTACAGCAAGATGCTTTGATGCAAAGAGGCTTAGAAGTTATGCAAAGGTCCCTTTATAGCCCAGAAAGTAGAAAATCCAACCAACGGAATAAGCTAAAGTAACCATAACACTTGACTGTTACTCTGCAAAAATGAAGGTCCTCCCATGCAGAAGATCACAGTCTGAAACAGAGGAGGTGCTGTTGTGACATCAGCTATTGGATATATTTCAACAGATCTTTGGTTTGGGCGATGGAGGAAGAAGTGAGCTGTTTATTCAATGTTACTTAGTCCTGTGCCTAATGAATAGAGCTGATCACAATTTTTTTTCTTGAAATTGAAAATATCAACGTTTGAAAACAAACTTGTGGTTTTGGGATGAAACCTGAGTTGAAGGGTTTTCTGATCCAGAGTGGTCAAAATAAGATAGCAAACACAATCCTAAAGTTACTGCTAATTTAGTGGTTATTTAGTGGCTCATTTAGGATGCAGGAAATCCAGATTAAAGTTCCTTGGTCCAGTGACGTAGAGTAGGGCACTGGTGGGCTTGTTCATTTAGCTGGTACCAGTTAAGATCTCTGTTGACATATAGAAGTTATGCCTGTTTTCGCTTGCTGATGATCTAGCCCAGCAAGTGTTCAGTGGACTCCGTTGACCCATTGACTCCAATTTGCTTATACACGGGAGAGAACATGCCGAGTTCTGTTTTTTGCCAAAGTAGCTCTGTTGACATTTGTTGTTCACCTTCTTACTCCGATGCCTAGTATTCAAGGATTGTGGTGATCTGTATCTTTCCAATCTCTCCCAAACTGATGGTAGCCACCCATAGTGGTAATTTGTATTCGACTACAGGATCGGCAGGGTCAGTCCTTGAAAGTAGCTGACATTTGGGGAGAATTGGTAGTGTTATAAGTAGCGGAACCAGCAGCTGCACAAAGAGAACAGATATAGGGGTGTAACCCTTTCTGCCAGCAAATGACACACCAATGTTTTACAGTAAATAGGTGTTATTGTAACAGGTCATTGGAGCCCACCTCATCAACGTATGGGTTTTCCTTTCTATATAAGAAGTATCAAAACCAGAAGCAGGTGTGTTGTTTTGTATAGAAGGTGGTGAACTTTTGGTAACCTGAAGTTTTTTAATCAAGATTTGAGGACTATAGTAACAGAGTCAGAATTATTGCCCTACTATAGGAACAGATGGATGAAATTTTGTAGCATGCTGCAAGCAGAAGATCAGACTAGGTGATTCCATCTAGCCTGAGTATGGGAGTCTGTTACATCATTCAGAGTAGCTCACAGGGCTGTGGGAAGTCAGGCCTAATGGTTGAAACAGGCATTCAGACTGTAACTTAAGCTGAATTATAAAAAGCTGGTTAGCTAACTAGGATACTTAAAAGCAGGGTCAGCCTAAACAAATGCTAGTAAAGCAAACTGGGTAATTCCTTCTAAAACTGCTAAACCAACTTCTAGAACTAAGCATAGGATTGAAAGTGTTGTGGTCAGGTGACAACTCTAATTCAAGATTATGCAGTGTACATATGCCTAGATGAAGACTGTTACAACAGTATGAGATAGATTTGTTACAATAGCAACATAAAAGTCAAATTTACAAGTGCATGTGATAACGCTAGTTTCTTTATCATTAAGTTTATTTATAGTTATGGAAAATATATGGTCAGTCATGTAATGCATAAAGAGGAAAGTAAAATGAGCAGTATTTAGAAAAGCTTGAGCTGGAAGTAATGTGGTTTATGCCACCCAAATGAATTTGCACAGAGGTGAGAGGGTCTCTGAAAACATTGTATATGTGCTTTTTTTTTTGTGATACTGTATAAATACAGGCAAAGCTGATATACAGAACGATCTATCCATCCATGTAGAAGGGTATTTTAGTGTTTGCAGTCCCAACATACAGTGAAACCTTTGTTATCCGGCACTGTAGTATCCTTTTCAGGGACAGTGCCCTCCATACTTTGTGTTCTCCCATTCTGGGGAACCTGCAAACTCCGTCCAGCTACTCCTTCAGGGGCACCTGGAACTGCTTCCCATGTTGTTCCAGAACCTTCTTCTGCCCTTACCTCAGGGCCTCAGCCTGAGGGCTCTACCAGCCAGACAGGAGCTCTCTCTAGCTACCCAGCCCCTGATTATAGACTTTCTCGGTCCCAGGTGCTGACACTCCTCTCTCCTCCGTGGAGACTGATCTTCTTCTCTCAAGCTCCAGTCAGCTACTGAACGCTGTTCTGCAGACCGTCTTATATGAGCCTGCCAGGCTATGATTGTCTGCTCCTCTCAGCCCCTTTCTAATTGGCTGCCTCTAGCACAGCTGCCTAGACCCTTTTCTGACAGTGAAGGGCAGATGGTCCATCACACACTCCCTTCTGTGTGTGTGTGTGGGCAGGGGGAAGGCAGCCAAGCCCCCTGCCACACACGACAATATCCCCAGCAAGCCAGTCTACCCAGCAGGTCAGCATCTGAGCTTTGCTTTCTCTCCAAGGACAGTGACAGTGTTTTTACTGGAGATCACACAGCTTTCTCTGCAGAGTATATATATTCTAAGGCAAAGGTATCACCGAGAAAAATAGAGTTCGTGTATACTCACAAAACATATTATAATTTGCTTTCCACATGGGAACTCTGGTAGGCAGGGTGGTCAACAGGCCTACCAAGCCCTTGACATGCCAGGGGAGGAGGGAGGCTCCGTGCTTCTCAAAGGGGTAAGACCTTGGGCAGAAGAGGTGGGGCTGGAGGCAGCTAGTTCTCAGAGCTGCTTGAAATGTGCTATACTACACCCCTCCCCCTCAAAACCAGCTCTGAGAGCCACCGAGATAGAACCACATGGCGCTCCAGTGGCTGCATCTGTAGTAATGGCAGCAGCAGCCGGGACCCCCGAGACCTTTTGAATAGCCTGGTGTCTGAGCGACTGTCCCTTTGCTCCACCCTCCTCCCCTACTATCCACTCTAACCCTTCAGCAAAGGTTGGGGTTCTCAGAGAAGCAAAGGTCACATCCATTACTGAATCAATAGGAAGACCCTGAGACTGTTTAAATCCATCCTTTATTTGCCCCATGTTCACTCTTTGTCTCTTGGTCTTTGGAGAACCCAGTTTGAACCAGTATATGTGGATTGTCACAAGGGGGGGTATCTCTCTGCAGCCATTTACAGTCTTCAAGATTAAGTCTTAGTCACCTTAAGCACTCCCTTCTCTCCACAACCCGTTTTTAATTTTTGGAGGAGTTGCGGCAACCCTCCCTCATGGATTGGAGCACAGTCAAACATAAGTTTAATACAATGGCTCGCAATGATACTACATGGGTTTGCAATCTGCCACATTTATGTCCTAAGAGCACAATATCTGAATTCCAATTTGTTCCACACTCTAGGTGAACAATATTTTCATTCTTCTTTTGAAGCACAGAATTTCCCTGTGGAGTTGTTTAGCTGCAAATGTTGATATGCCCAATTCCTCTCTACTTTAAACTGAGTGGAGTAGTCTCCCCTTTAACTCGGCTGTTTTGGACTGTTTTCATGGCTTGATAGTTTCTACTTCTCAATCTTCTAATGAAGAAGGAAATTGCCTGGTGTTTGTTCCTGACGTCAGGGCTGGCCTTACCATGAGGTGAACTGAGGTGGCCGCCTCAGGTGCCAGACTCTGTCTGGGGGGGGGAGTGCCACTAGGACCCAGAGTGTAGAAAATTGTGTCTGCTGCTGGTGCACATGTATTCTCTCTGCTCTAGATGCACAGGGATGGTGGAGTGCTGTGCTGGAGGAAGGAGGGCACAAGAGACATAACAGGCAGGCAGGAGAAAAGGTGAGAGGGAATAACAGAAAGCAGCAGGAGCTGGAGAGAGAGAGAGAGGAGGAGGAGCCTCTTATGTATCTCTTTAGCATTCCCAGGAGCCTGGACTGATTAAAACCAGCTTGCAGGGAGCTTCCTCTTTCCTGCTGCCTCCCTGAACCCACTTGAAGAGAAAGGGCAGTCAACTGAAGTAGTAGGAGCCAGTTAGGCCCTTAAAACGCTGGTATCTTCCCTCACTCAGGCCCTGCTACCAGCCTACTTATTTGTCCCCTTCAATTGAGTGTTGAGATCCACTATAGCTGGCACAGAACAGAAGTCATGAGTGAAAGAAGAAAACGCCCCTCTGGGGCAGCATTCAGAAAAAGAAAGGAAGCAAAGGAAGCTTTTGTATCTAAGCAGGAAGGAGCTCTCCTGAGATACATAGACACAAATGTTCACAGTGAGCCTTCCAGCCCCAGTGAGGATGTGAGTGGTGAGGAGATGCCTGATCTTCCAGTTAGTCAGAGTGCAGGTGACCTGGCCGCTACTGCAGCATCCATATCTCCATCTCAAATGGATGTAACCATGCACATTCCTGAAGAAAAATGTAGGTCAGAGAAGAGTGTGGTGGAGGCGCAAGAAACAGCTGCTGTTGAGTTTAGTTCCTTAAGTCTAGAAGATGATCCAGGACTGTGGACCCACTTGAGCAGTAGCCTGAGGGACTTCCTTGTACTGCATGGGCCACAGCAAGTGAAAAACTTCATGTTCCCCAAAGACAATGAAAATAGAAGTTTCCATCCAATACGTTACTGGTGTGAAATCCCCAATGGTGACAAAGGGGAGAGGCCCTGGCTTATGTGCTCAAAAACCCAGAATGCTGCATACTGTTTTTGTTGCAAACTCTTCCAATGTTCCAGCCACAATGGGTTCTATAGGAACAAAGGACTGGAAAAATTTGGCTAGAAATCTGGCATGCCATGAGAAGGCAGTAAATCACCAGAGAGCATTCCATAGGTGGAAAGAGCTTGAGATGAGACAAAGGTTAAAGGCCACTGTACATGACCAGCATCAAGAGAAGATTGCATCAGAGTCTCTTTACTGGCAAAATGGTCTGAAAAGGCTCACTGCCATTGTGAGACTGCTTGCTACCCAAAACCTAGCACTGTGTGGCACTTCAGATCAGCTGTTTGTGCCAAACAATGGAAACTTCCTTAAAATTGTGGAATTGATGGCTTAGTTTGATGTTGTACTCCAGAAGCATCTAAGAAGAATCACCACCCAGTTTTGAAAGAGAGCACCCAGCGAGTCTGGATGCTCTCTTTCGAAGACGGCCTCTTTACATTGAAGAACGCCTTCTTTCGAAAGAGGAACTTTCGAAAGAAGGCGTTCTTCCTCGTGAAACGAGGTTTACCGCCATCGAAAGAAAAGCCGCGTTCTTTCGAAATTATTTCGAAAGAACGCGGCTTTTCTTTCGATGGCGGTAAACCTCGTTTCACGAGGAAGAACGCCTTCTTTCGAAAGTTCCTCTTTCGAAAGAAGGCGTTCTTCAATGTAAATAGGGCTTCCT